ATGGCTGGAGGTCAAGAGGCAATGGCCAAAATGGAAAAATCCAGAAATAGTCATATAAGCGTGTTATTTAGAAACATGAAGGTTAATATAGAGATAAGAGGAGTTTCCTCTGGGGAGAGTCCAGGGGGCAAAGGCTGAGGGTGACTGTTGTTTTTTCATGACAATTTTTATATATTTACTAGATGCCCGTGCATGAAATTTGTGCACAAGTAGGGTCCCTAGGCCTGATCAGGGCCCTTTGGCTGCCAGCCGGGGCCTTCCTTCATTCTGCGCCACCCCCTGGTGGTCAGCACATGTCATAGCAAGCGATCGAATTCCCAGTCTCCTGGCCAAACTCCCAAGGGGACACTTTGCATATTAGACTTTTATATATATAGATTCCATTTCACATTTTAAACTATGTACACTTAGCATTGAGAGAGAGAGAAAGAGAAAGAGAGAGAGAGAGAGAGAGAGAGAGAGAGAGAAATTGTTTTACGTGAAACAGATCCTCTCAGCTTCCACAATGCAAGGTTTCAAAAATCTTAGGGCAGCATCGCAGCCCGGGCACCCATCAGCTATGTGGCCACGTGCATTATTTTGTCATGACAGAGCACCACAAACTGAGCAGCTTGCCCAACAGAGACTTGTGCCTCCCAGGCTGGAGGCCAGTCTGAGATCAAGGTGTGGGCATGTTGGTTCCTCCTGGGGACGGTGGGGCCAATCTGCGCAGGCCTCTTGCTGAGCTTCTGGTGGTTTGCCGGTGGCCTTCCCTGGTTTGCAGACACACCACCCCCATCTCTGCCTTTGTGTTCACATGGGTTCTTTCTATGTACTTGGCTGAGCCCAAATGTCTCCTTTTTGGGACACCAGTCATTATGGATTAGGGTCCCCTTACTCCAGGGCCACCTCATTCTAACTTAGCTCATTACACCTGCAAATCAACCTCATTTCCAAATAAGGCCACCTTCTGAGCTATTGGGGGCTAGGACCTCAACATGTGAATTACAGGGGGCCACAATGCCACCCATAACACTGTGTTAAAACTGTGGGGTGCTGTTACACTTTTAAACAAACTGGCCGCCCTGCAGGTCCAACTTCTTAGTGTGGATGCCACCCTGTGATACTCGGACAATTCATGACACCTTCCACCCTCTGCTCTTGACGCACTTCAGCAAAGACTCCATCTCTCTTCATTTCTCCCGAGCACCCACTCTCGCTCCCGCCCCCCAATGTGTCACTTGCCCCAATTCCTCTCACAGATCCCTGCTTGGCCACCTGATCTTTATATATTCTCCCCGCCACCCCCTCTGATTAAGCCAACTGCTTTTCCAAAGTGTCTTCTCTTCAATACACTCAGACCAATTACTTCCCCCAACAACAACAATACAACAAAAGCAAAACCCTCCTTCCACTGCCAGGTGGCTGAGTTACACGCCGTGAGCAGGGTCCTGACCAGGCTACTTACTAGTTGGGTAACGTTGGGCGACTTAACCTCCCCCGGCTGTTTTCTTACCTACGCAGTGAGGATAATTACAGCAACCTCCTTCACAGGGTTAAATGGCAGAACACTTGTGAAGCCCCTAGCATGGTGCCCAGAACACAGTACGTACTCAATAAATACCATTCGCTATTATCTCTATCATCACCATGTGTGACTCCCTATACCTCCTTCCATCTTTTCATGTTAAGAGCAAAGCCTGGCTGTGTTTGACCTCCCACCAGCCTTTGACTAGAGAGAGGCCCCCGTTGGGGCTTCACTGTGACCTCAGTCATCTGTGCTGTGGCTCCTGCCCCTCTCCGTCCTGTTGGGCGGCCCAGCCTAACTGCTGCCCTGAGCTCCCCGGGGCACCTGTCTCTAGCCCTGCCTCACACGGTTCCGTAGCTCTCTTCACTTAGCGGGGCCTTCAGGAAGACACTCCCACTCCAACAGTAGCACTCTTAGAACACTTTTTAAAAAGCAAATAATTTCATAAATAATGTTGATTTGCTCTGTGAAATTTTAAAAACCAAGTCAAGTTACCTTCTCCATGTCACTAAAACACACACACACACACTCCATTCCCTTCTAAGCTCATAGACATCAAAGCACCCAGCTGAGGTCTGAATAGCATGATCTTGATAACCATAATGGTCTCCAGTTGGGAAGGAGGAACAGACCGAGTCTGGGAGCAAATCTGCATGGAAAACAGGCTGTGCAGTTCGTCTCAGAGCGGCTTGCTCAGGAACGCCACTCCTGTACCATTGGAGACACTCGAACCAGAGACAAGCAAAACCCTAAACATTTCTAAAAGAAGGCACCAAGGTCTGCAGCGTGTGGCTGCTAGAGAACTTGCACCACAATAGAGAGAACTTGTATGTCTCTTATTTGTAATAAGAACAGTGATTAGAAGAATAGCTAGCCTTTCCTTGTGCAGTCTGTGTACCAGGCACTGTTGTGCGTGTGTGGTTTGATCCACCCAATTAACTGTCAGTGAAGGAGGGGCTCGGAAAGGAAGGCCTTCCACAGGCAGCTGTGTGACTAGGGTCCCACAGACCTTCAATTTCTCATCTATAAAGTGGGGATAATGCCCGCCTAACAGACTTGTGAGCATGAAGTGAAGTAATGTAGAGCACTTTACCCCAAGGTTTTCCATTGCAATTTCATAGAGAACGGAATGATATATATGAAAAATATGTACCGTATTAACTAAACACACACACACACACACACTCCATTCCCTTCTAACAGCAGGAGGTGCGAAAACTTGAGATTTCTTTCTGGAATATTTAAATCTGTCCTTCAGTATGTCTGTCCTGGTGGAGGTGAACTTGGAGTGGTCTTTGACCTCTTGGTTCCCATAGCCAGTCTCTGCTAAGCAGGGCGTCATCCCACGTCAAAGAAGACAATGTGAAGTCAGAGGAACCAAAATGCCACCCACACTCCAAAGAAATTCCCCTTCCAGAAGCCATCACAGCCCTTCAAGGAGGGTGAGCAGCAGGACAGCTCAGGGGACTCACAGAGACGTACGGCTACCTCCAGCTGGCTCCCACAGGGCACCCCAGAATGGAGATGCCCCTGTGCAAGGAGAATGTTGGCCCCCTGCCTTCCCAACTTGCCTCCTTCATCCACAGCAGCCAGGAAGCCCTGTCACAGAGTGGGCCTAGCTGGTCCCTGCAGGCAGTGCCCTCCCCCCGCCTCCGGCCACACACACACACACACACACACACACACACACACACACGTCCTTTCTGCCCACACCAAGTCCTCTTGGACAGCTGATTCCTGGGCTTCTGCCCTTCCACTTCCACCTGATGGTTCTGTGTTTGAAAATCACAACCAGAAGGACCACACCTCTACTTCAGCAGGGGGTGGGGGGAGTGAGGGAAGTGAAGGGAGTGGTGGTGAAGGAGGTGCTGAAAATGAGCTGCTTTCTCCTAAACAGGTGCTCTGCGCCCCACATGTGATGTCCCCTCGCCCTGCCCTCCGGCCCTGGGCCCTTGGCTAAGCTGGCAGCGGACCGGCAGTCAACAGCCTGATCCCACCCACGTGTGGTCCAGGTTCTAGTGCGAGACAGGGACAGAAACAAGCTGAGACTGGGAGCTTCCCGGCGCTCCCATAATGGGCGAGGAAGGCGCCTGGGAGGCGGCACACCCTCCAGTGGGCTCTGGGGTCCCCTGTGGACTCCGTCTGGACCCCAAAAGACCCTTAAGTACTCCCCTGTGAACCTCTCCAAATCCTGCTCACCTGAGCCCACTCGCACCCCCAGGCCCCTGAGCAACTTCCCACCCCAAACGCTCACATCCCCAGAGTCTGCGCACCCCTCCGACCCATGCGCGTGGTCGCACCCTCCTCGCTCCATGAGCACTTCCCGGCTTCGGCGCGCTCGAACCCAGATCTCCACGCACACCCCGGACCCCCGCGTGCACCCCCGAGCCCGGCGCGCGCGGTCACCCCTCCGACCCCTGCGCAACCCCCGCCAGCGCACCCCCAGTTCTCCCGGACCCCGCCTTGCCCTCGCGGGGCTGGAAGCCGGGACGTGCAGCACGTGCGCCGCGCGGTGATTGGCAGTGCCGCCAGCCCACGCCCCGCGCCCGCGCCCGCGCCCCGGCCGGATCGCCCGAGGGGAGTCGCGAGGCGCCGCGGCTGCGGCCAGTTCCAAGGGCGGGGCCAGTCCGGGCGCGCGGGCCGGGCTGCGGTCGCCTCCCGAGTCGCCCGGGGAACAATGACAATGATGGGGAGGGGGTGGACGGAGGAGCAGCCGCTGGGAAGCGCATCTAACTGCGGGCGGCGCTAGAATGAGCTCGGAGGCGCTGTCGCCGCGGAGGGAGACGCTGCTGTAACTGATGGAAAATTCCCACTGGCCGCTGGTCGACTGGCCCCGCGCCGAACCCCTGCGTCCTTCCGGACAGAGCCCGGAGGTCCACCGCAATCTTCGACTTGCGTGTTTGGGGAGGTGGGGGGGGGGGGGGGGGGACAGGGCCGGGGTGTTAAGAAGGAACCTAAACATTTAAACGCAGCTGGCGGGGAGCCTGGGAAAGTGACAAAGGCACAGCTCGCGTGCGTGGCCGGGGACGCTGCGCCTCTGATAGGGAACCACCAAGATGTCCATTAAAATACTGGCGGCGGCTGGGCTCGGCGGGAGGGCTCCCAAAGGCGGCGATCTGAGCGGAGGCGGTGGGCGCCGGGCCTAGGAGCGCGCAGGACTGGCGGGGAGGAGGGTGGCCGAGCCTGGGCGTGCGGCGGAGGGCGCGGGGCTCCCACGGGCTGCTGTGGAAGGAGGGGCGGCCGGGGTGCAGCCCTCGCTGATTCTCGGCGGGGAACACAGGGGCTGTCTCTCCGCTTCCCAGCAGCAGCCAATGAAATGTGAGGCAGGGTCCGGAACCAATGGAACCCTGCCGGCTGCGGGGCAGCTGCCGCTGGAAACTTGTGTAGAGAGACCTGGCCTTCCGGGGGAGGGAGGGAGGGGGGGCGCTGTTTTCCCAGGAGCCCGGGACAGGTGTGCATCGGGGGCCAAAACACCAGGAGTGCGTCCATTTACCCATCGATTTGGATCAGAGCGCCTGCTGTTGTAAGGCACGCGCCCCGGCCGGCGAGGGGGCAAAGGAAGAGAGGGAGGCAGGCAGAGGGGAGGAACCGCGCATCCTGACCTGAGCATCTCAGAGGCTGGGGAGGTTTCTCCCTCTGTTCAAGTCCTGCGTTATTTCCCCTCCTGTATACGTTAACGTCTTACATTTGTGGAGTGCTTTACAGTTTCCAAATTGCTTTCACGTGCCAGGTCTTACCCAGCAATCACTAAAACCTACAAGACAGGTATCATTACTCGTCTGGGGGAAGCGAGGCTCAGATAGGTTAGATTACATGCCCCAGCAACTCAGCTGTCATCACATCTTTGGGAGTGGAACTCAGGTGTCCTGACTGCAAATCCAGGTCTTTAAACTCATCGAAGGAAGGAAATCAGGCCTGCTGTACGATCCTGGTGCCCAGGGCACACCCAGCAATTAATATGAAACCCAGAAGGACTGGGTTACTTTTTCTTGGCCTTAGTCATTGTTTAATTGTCCCCCTGAAACACAGGTCAGCTCTGCCATTATACACCTACAGGTGAAGAGGAGATTACACTGACTCACAGGAAAGCCAGTGCCAGAGGTAAAAACAGAATGAGGGGCGCCCTAGCTGGTTTGGCTCGGTGGGTAGAGCGTCCACCTGCAGACTGAAGGGTCCTGGGTTCGATTGTGGTCAAGAGCACATGGGAGGCATGTGCGGCTCTATCCTCAGTAGAGGACGTGCAGGAAGCAGCCGATCAATGATTCTTTCTCATCATGGATCTCTCTCTCCTTTCCACTCTGAAATCAATAAAAATATTTTAAAAAAACAATGTGAGGAGTGAGGGTGGGTTACCCACTGTGGATTTCCTCCTCACCCACATCCCTCAGCTCCACACCTGCCGCTTCCTCTGCCTCCTCTCATGTGGGTCCCCAGCCGGAGACACTACTCCTGCCCCAGGGGCCAGGCTCTGCCTGCCTACAATAGGCTACACCCAAGGGAACCCTGAGGCCTCCACCTCTGCCACTGCCAGCACCCTGGTCCCGAGGAAAAACGTCCCACCCCTCCCATGACCACAATGACTTTGTTAAAAGTTGTAAAAGTTTAGCTCCTAGAGGATCTGTCACTCGGGACTCACTGTGTCTCTGTCACGGCACCAGCTAAAGTCTGACCTGCTCAGCGAAGCAGAGAATCCGTGTTTCCCAGAGCCAGTGGCACCACAGTCACGTGTCGAGCTTTTTAAGAAGGTGCACCACTGAGCATCTCTCTGGACTAGGAGGACTCAGGAGGTCCTGAAAGACTCTGAAGTGATTCAGCCTGGCCAGCGTGGCTCGGTGGTTGAGTGCTGACCTATGAACCAGGAGTTTCGGTTCGATTCCTGGTCCGGGCATATGCCCACATTGTGAGCCCGATCCCCCGGTGGGAGGCATGCTGGAGGCAGCTAATCGATGATTCCTTCTAATCATTGATGTTTCTATGTCTCCCTCGCCCATCCTCTCTGAAATCAATAAAAATATTTTTTTTTTAAATATTTTATTGATTTTTTACAGAGAGGAAGGGAGAGAGATAGAGAGTTAGAAACATCGATGAGAGAGAAACATCGATCAGCTGCCTCCTGCACATCTTCTACCGGGGATGTGCCCGCAACCCAGGTACATGCCCTTGACCGGAATCGAACCCGGGACCCTTCAGTCCGCAGGCCGATGCTCTATCCACTGAGCCAAACCGGTTTTGGCATGAAATCAATAAAAATATTTTTAAAAAATAAAAATAAATACTCTGAAGTGATTCAGATGACCAGCCAGGTCATGTGTTCATCGTTCAAATGAACACATGTAGAATGACTTCCATCAGAAAAGTCTGCGATAACTCAAGGGTGAAATTGGCAAATTATAGGTATACCTCAGAGATACTGTGGTTTCCACTCCAGACCACCGTAAAGTGAGTGTTGCAATAAAGTGAGTTTTAATCTTTTATCTTTTTGCTGGTGGAGGGTTTTGCTTTCAATTTGTAAAAAACAAACAAACAAACAAAACATCTGTAGAGCGCAATAAAGTGAAGCACAATACAAAGAGTCTGCCTGCATTGCTCAAATAAGGAACCTGTCATTCATAAGAGAACCCAGAAGGGAATGGAAACCCTGTGGTAGGAAAATTCTGTATTGAGTAACCTAAGACCTTAGAGGATATAGAGATAGGGAACTGAGATTGGATGGGAACTTATTTTCACTAAATAAGATTCTTTTTTACATTTTATTTTTAAAGAATTTTTTCAATTATAGTTTACCTTTAGTAGTATTTTTCATTAGTTTTAGATATAGAACATAGTGGTTAGACAGTCATATACTTTACAAAGTGTTCCCCCTGGTATTTCCAGTACCAATCTGGCAGCATAGGAAATAGAATCAATAATATTATAATTCACTAGATAAGAGATGAAGTCAGCAACTCACACCCTACCGAATTCCATTCTGATCAATGGACACCACACCGTTTGCTTCATTCCCATTTATCCACCTTACTCACTAGACCTGCACTGTCCATATAGGAGCCACCAGCCACATGTGACTTCTGAGCACTTGGAACGTGGCTGGTCCAGACTGAGACATGTGGCCAGTGTCACATGCACATTGAATTTCAGAGACTGAGGCAGGGGAAAAGCTCATTAACACCCTTGACATGGACTACACAGTGAAACAATATTCTGGATCTGTTGAGTTAAACACATCAGTAACATTAATTTCACCTGTTTCTTTTTACTTGTTTTAATGTGGCTACTAGGAAATGTAAAATTAACATACATGGCTCGTGGGTGCTGAAGATATTCTTGATCTGGGTGATGGAGATATATGTGTATGTGTGTGGGTGTTGAAATTCATCAAACCGTGCTCTTAAGCCTTATGTACAGTACTGCTGTGTCTAAATAAAAACCAGTTTAAAATTTTGAAAACTAACAATGGCTTTCTGTCGCATTTATAGAAAAATCCAAGCTCCTCTCCTTGGCCACCAAGACTAGGCCTATTTCTCTACCTCCTCGGACCCCATTGTCCCCATGGCTCATTGACCCTCCTGTTTTTTCAATGTGCCTGGCTCCTGCCCACCTAGGGCATCTGCATGTGCCTTTTCCTCTGCTGGGAAGGTTCTCCCTCCAGATCTGTACTATCATTCACATTTCAGTTCAAACATCCTTCTTCTTTGACCATTTTAATCAGTTAAGATGTCTTGATCTAAAAGAAACAAGGAATGCAAATTGCCTTAAATATTGAAGAGAGTTTGTTGGCTTGTGGAACTAAGTCCGGAAGCAAATCAGGCTCCAGCCATATGGTCAGGGCCCTGGGTCCTTTCCTCTGTGATTCTCTGGTTTAACGGGTCAGCTTTAACCTCATGGTGACTTCCTGAACATTAGCAAAACGGCTCTGCTGTCCCTGGCCTCACATCCATATCCCACCCCATCCAGGAAGAGAGTTTCTTGTCTTCTAACACTCAAAGGAGAGTACTGGACTCCACTTAACTAATCACTTAGCCCAGGAGAGTCCCAGGTGCTGACTGGCATAAATCTGAAGCAGTCACTGCCGATAGGACCCTGATTATTTAGGCAGTGAAGGCCCCATCCCACCCAAATCTCAAAGCTGCCATGTATGTGGGAGATGTGAATGGGTAGTGGAGAGACAACCAGCAGTGTTCACTAGACCGCCTACCACCTCAAGTCACTGTCTAGGCCAGATGAAGTGGTGCATAAGTAGGCCTGTGTACATCCTAAGGGTGGGCTTTGTTTGAGAGCCCTTTAAAAATGGAAAAAGCACTCTTTAGCTCACGGACCTCACAAAAATAGGCCAAGGGCCATAGTGTGCTCACCCCCAATCTAGGTCATTATGGTGCTTGTGGCACCTAAATCTACCTTGTTAATTTGTGTCCCTGTGTAATGGAAGCTCTGTGAGAGCAGGAACTGTGTCTGTCTTCCTCACCAAACACCTACAAGAGCACTGGGACGCAGTAGATGCTCAATAAATATTCACTGGATAATGACTATGAAGACTTTATGGCAGGGCACATCAGGACCCAGTGCCTAGCTCTGACCTGGGTTTTTCTGCCTTTCCCGTCTACGGGACACAGCTGCCCCCGTACTGACCAACATGGGAATGGGCAGAGCTTCTGCTGGTCTACAAGGTGTCTTTATGAAAATCAGGAAAAGGTAACACCCTCTGGCTGATGCAGCCCAGCACCCTGGAGCATGGTGAGTGGGGGGGGACTGGACTCCAGCCCCCACCTGCCACCTTGGAGGGCACCCTCGGACAGGACACGTTCTGTGAGCTACGTACAGCAGCTGTGGGGTGGAGTTCTAAGTCTGAGTTCTAAGACCTCACCTCCTTTTATTGTTCCAAGACTTTGTTGCAAAATCCCTTGCTTGTGCTCTGCCTATGCTCTCTCTCTCTTTCACCAACCGCCAATCCCCTCTTCTTCCAGTTTTCACAAAAGGACTGTGATTCGCACGTATTGAATTGCAATTCTCATTTGGCACTTGGAAGTGCTTCCAAGTATAATAGAGTGTGGCATGGGCAGGGGGGGAGGGGGGGGCGCTGTTGTGGTTGGGCCGGGACCCCTGTCCTTGTGCTTACAGTGGGGACTGGAAGAGTCCCAGCCCACGTTGTCACAGGAAGGGGAAGCGGCTGTAAAAATACAGTAAAACGGTGAGGGTTCTTCCGTCTGGAAAGATAATGGCTAAGAAGGAATAACATGCTGGATCATGAATGTGATGGGGAGGGTGGTCACGAGCTCACTCATCAGATCCTGAATTAGAACCAGGGGGCTGTGCTTAACACTTGAGAGAATTGTGTTCAGAAATAAAAGGAGAAAATCCGACTTCACTCTGTAGGTGGTAAGCTCATGGAACTCATTACCCCAAGCAGGAGTCAGAGCAGAAATAAAAATGCCCAGAACACCGTGGAAGACTTTGCTGTTGACAGACCGTATTGACTGATTAAAGGAAACGAGGCTGCTTGGGATATCAGGACTGTAGTCTCAGGTTGTTGACGGGGCGTAACTGGTTGTTCACAGTGTTTTCCTTCATGCCTCCCTGCCTGCCCCCCCGACCCCCAGGAGACAGTAAGACCAGGAGCCCAGGCTGCCCCCGCCCCCAACACACACCCTGGGCAGCAGGAGAGGGGCCTCCCAGATGAAAGAGTGGCTCCCAACCTGGGTTTCCTTGGGCCAGTCACAACCTATTGCTGGGAATCTGGGGGCCACTGAGACAGTAAACTGATGT